AAATTTAATAGATCAATATTTCAAATTTCAGACTTTTTCAACTTTCATTTATTAATAAATTAATTAAACATATATTTTATTGATTAAATATATTAAGGTCACAATTTCATATAATTTGGTCACAATATTAATTGATCACAAATCACAATTTTTATATGTCACAAATTATTTTACGATTACAAAAAGCTAAAAAATTATAGGTCACAATTTGTTCATCGATCACAAATCAAAAATTTATATGTCACAATTTATTCATGAGTCACAAATCTATCAAATTAATAAGTCACATATTATTCATGGGTCACAAATCACAAATTTTATATATTACAAATTATTTTACGCTCACAATTCAAAAAATTTATGTCACAATTTGTTCATCAATCACAAATAAAAAATGTATAAGTCACAATTTATTTATCGGTCACAAATCACAAGTATTATAAGTCACAACTTATTAGACAGTTACAACTTATCAAATTATCGGGCACATATTAACAATTTTTTAGGTCACACATTATTTCTTGATAATAAATTATCGAATTTTAAGGTCATATTTTAATAGTTGGTCACAATAAACCAAATAATTGGTAACAAACACCAAAACACCAGCGATCCCGATCCACCATCAATACTTGGTCACAAATCAACCAATTAATTTGTGACCACAACCAACACTTATGACCACCACCTCACCACTCCCACTTGCAACACCGCCGTCACCGTTGTCGCTAGAACCACAACCACCTCTAGATAGCAACATCATCTAAAACAAATCAACAAATCGCAGAAAAACACCACCAGATCATCACGTCAGATCCACCACCACCTCGACGGACCATCGCCACCAACACCGTCTAGCCGCTGCACTGTCATCGCCAGAACCACCATCACCACCTCCCGACAGAAAAACCATTATCTTAAACACTACAACCACCACCACCAGCCTACCGCTCCAAAATCACAACCCCCACCAAAAAAATTCCCAAATCTACCGCCGGGCACTAACTTCGCCGCCACCATCACCGCTAAATCAACCACAACACCACCACACAC